CCAGCTCAGGTATACGTGGCTGGCGCCTTAGCCACTTGAGCCACAGGCGCTAAGCCCATTTGGTTTTTTTTTTGAAACAGAGTTTCACTATGCCGTCCTATGTAGAATGTCCTAACATGGCATTACAGCTCACAGCAACCTCAAACTCTTGGGCTTAAGCAGTCCTCTTGCCTCAGCCTCCCAAGTAGCTGGAACTATAGGCACCCACCACAATGCCTGGCTATTTTTTGTTTGCAATTTGGCCAGGGCTGGGTTTGAACCCGCCACCCTCAGTATATGGGGACAGTGCCCTATGCACTGAGCCACAGGCGCCGCCCAGCCAAAAAAATCTTTTCTAGCCTTCATAGAGCTCACTATCTAGTTCATTTACATCTTTATGTAACCTATTAATAGCTTTGTGACCATGGCCAAACCATCTAAACCTTATAGAGTCCAGAAGCTACTGAACCTAGCCTGAGTCTGGAGGCTAAAGCAGGAGGATCACTTGAGCCTAAGAGTTTGAGGTTGCTGAGAACTGTGACACCACAGCACTCTACTGAGGGCAAGAAAGTAAGACTGTCACACACACACACCAAAGAAAAAAAAGGTTAGGAGGTCAAGGTGAACATTAGGCTCATATCTGTAATCACAGCAGTTTGGAAGGCCAACATAGGAGGATCGCTTGAGACCAGGAATTTCATACCATACTAAGGTCTAGAACCTACACCTTGGCATCCTATAAAGTAGAGATAATAACTTGCTCCACCTGGCAAGATGATGCCTGCGAAGCTCCTGTGTAAGTAGTTTACTAACTAAAATAACTAATAAAGGTTAGATATTATTATTTCTTGAACTTGTTTTAGCCAGGCATCATTTAGTTCCAGGTAACACAAACACTTAAATCAGCAAAGAAAGAGGAATTTACTTATATAATACAAATATATACAAATGTTTCACTGAATCCAAGTGCTAGAATTACAGCCTAACCTCATGAGAAAGTGGAAACAGAGGATCTGATTAGTCCATTTTGGGTCAAGGGGCTACCTCACACCCAAGCATTTAAGGCAAGAAAGGTCAGAAGGTCAGGTGGGTTGTGGTAGCTCCTACCTGTAATCCTAGCACTCTGGGAAGCTGAGGTGGGTAGATTGCTTGAGCTCTGGAGTTCAAAATCAGCCTGAGTCACAGCAAGACCCCATTTCTAAAACTAGCCTGGCATTGTGGCAGGCACCTACAGTCCCAGCTACTTGGGAGGCTGAGGCAGGAGGATCACTTAAGCTTAAGAGTTTGAGGTTACTGTGAGCTGTGATGCCACAGCACTCTACTGAGGGAGAGAAAGTAAGACTCTGTCACAAAAATAAAAAGATTAAAAGGTCAAGGTGCACATTAGGCTCATATCTGTAATCCCAGCACTTTGGGAGGCCAACATGGGAGGATTGCTTGAGATCAGGACTTTTTTTTTTTTTTTTTAGATAGAGCCTGAAGTCATGGGGAAAAGAAGGCCAAAAGCATAAATGAACAACTCCGGGTAGAATGCTGTAGGTAGAGTGCTGTGGCATCACAGCTCACAGTAACCTCCAACTTCTGGGCTCAAGTGAGTCTCCTGTCTCCGCCTCCCAAGTAACTGGGACTACAGGCACCTGGCACAATGCCTGGCTATTTTTTGGTTGCAGCCATCATTGTTGTTTGGTGGGCCCGGGCTGGATTCGAACCCGCCAGCTCAGTATATGTGGCTGGAGCCTTAGCCACTTGAGCCATGGGCACCAAGCCAAGATCAGGACTTTTATACCAGCTTGAGCAACATAGCAAGACTCTGTCTCTACAAAAAAAAAAATTAAAAATTAGCCTGGTGCAGAAGCGCATGCGGATAGTCCCACCTGCCCAGGAGGAAGAGGATCAATTGAGATCAGGAGATCAAGTCTGTAGTAAATGATGATTGTGCCTGAGAAGAGCCACTGCAATTCAGCCTGGGTGACATAGTGTGACTTTGTTTCTAACAAAAAAAAGTCAAAGTGTTGTAGTACAAAGGTATGGTCTAGGATCTACCCTGGTGCTTGGAGGAGTGGGGACAGTTTCCTACCTATGGAATAAGTAGGCAGCTCCCAAAGCATCTTCTATAGAACCTTTTGGAGGTTGACACCTTAAGTGATCTGATGGTTGTTCATTTATGCTTTTGGCCTTCTTTTCCCCACAACCTTCCCCAATTTTATCAACAGTATGAATAGTTAGAAGCATAAATATAGGAACTGGGTGAAATATTTAATGTTTTCTAGGAACATACCAGTGGGATTTGGCCACCTGTGAGGGCCTCTTGCCCCGATATGAACATGCCAGCTTTATTCCCTCCTGCACACCCAACACAATCTGGGTATTTGGAGGTGCCAACCAATCAGGAAATCAAAATTGTCTGCAAGTGCTGAATCCTGGTAAGTAGCCAAAGGTTATTTTATTTATTTATTTATTTATTTTTTGAGACAGAGTCTCACACTGTTGCCCCTCAGTAGAGTGCCGTGGCGGCACAACTCAGAGCAACTTCAAACTCTTGGGCTTAAGCAATTCTCTTGCCTCAGCCTCCTGAGCAGCTGGGATTACAGGTGCCTGCACAACCAGCTGTTTTTTTGTCGTTGTTGTTATAGTTGTTTGGCAGGCCTGGGCTGGGTTCAAACCCATCAACCCTGGTGTATGTGGCCAGCACCCTAGCCACTGAGCTACAGGCACCGAGCCAAAGGTTATTTTATTTACATAAATATACAAGGTGGTCATAAAGTTCATGGTTTAAATTGCACATGAACCTTATGGCCACCCTGTATATAAACCTACATACGTATATAAGTTGAATTATAATTCTAGTATTTTTGGATTATAGCAGTTAACCCATTTAACTTTGCTGAACTCATAAAAAATAAGAATTTAAACTTTTTTTTTTTTTGAGACGGAGCCTCAAGCCATCCCCTTGGGTAGAGTGGCATGGCATCATGGCTCACAGCAACCTCCAACTCCTGAGCTCAAGCGAGTCTCCTGCCTCAGCCTCCCAAGTAGCTGGTACTACAGGCGCCCACCACAACGCCCAGCCATTTTTTGGTTGCAGCCATCTTTGTTGTTTGGTGGGCCCGGGCTGGGGATTTGAACCCGCCACCTTAGGTGTATGTGGCTGGCGCCTTAGCTGCTTGAGCCACAGGCACCGAGCCAAGAATTTAAACTATTAGCAGAATTTTCTCAAAGCTGCCAATGCTGGCACAGATGTGGAGAGAAAGGAACACTTTTATGCTGTTGGTGGGACTGCAGACTATTACAGCCTCTTTGGAAGGAAGTATAGACGATCTTTAAAGAACTCAAAATAGGCTCAGCGCCTGTAGCACAGTGGTTAATGGTGCCGGCCACATGTACCAAGGGTGGTGGGTCCAAACCCGGCCCAGGCCTGCTAAAGAACAATGACAACTGCGACAAAATAATAGCCGGGTGTTGTGGCAGGTGCCTGTAATCCCAGCTACTTGGGAGGCTGAGGCAAGAGAATTGCTTGAGGGTGGCACCTGTGGCTTAGCTGGTGGGTCGCTGGCCCCATATACCAGAGGTGGTGGATTCAAACCCAACCCTGGCCAAACTGCAACCAAAAAATAGCTGGGCATTGTGGTGGCACCTGTAGTCCCAGCTACTTGGGATGCTGAGGCAGGAGAATTGCCTAAGCCCAGGAGTTGGAGGTTGCTGTGAGCTGTGTGACACCATGGCACTCTACAGAGAGCAATAAAGTGAGACTCTGTCTCTTAAAAAAGAGAGAGAGAGAATTGCTTGAGCCCAAGAGTTTGAGGTTGCTGTAAGCTGTGATGCCATGGCACTCTATCAAGGGTGACATAGTGAGACTCTGTCTCAACTCAAAATAGACCTTCCATTAGATTCCGCAATCCCATTACTGGCTTCTACCCAGAAGAAAAAATATCACTTTATCATAAGGACATTTTAACTAGATTTATCACAGCTCAATTTACAATTGCCAAGAAGTACCCATCAACCTGTGAATGGATTAATAAACTGTGGTATATGTATACCATGGAATACTATTCAGCCATAAAAAGATGGAAACTTTACATCTTTTGTATTAACCCAGATAGAAGTGGAGAACATTCTCTTTATTAAACTATCACGTGGCACCTGTGGCTCAGTGGGTAGGGCACCAGCCCCATATACTGAGGGTGACAGGTTCAAACTCACTCCGGCCAAACTGCAACCAAAAAATAGCCAGGCATTGTGGCAGGCGCCTATAATCCCAGCTACTTGGGAGGCTGAGGCAAGAGAATCGCCTGAGCCCAGGAGTTGGAGGTTGCTGTGATCTGTGTGATGCCACGGCACTCTACCGAGGGCCATAAAGTAAAACTCTGTCTCTACAAAAAAAAAAAAAAAAAAACTATCACAAGATGCCTTGGCTCCCATAGCACAGTGGAGGTGCCAGCCACATACACAAAAGGTAGTGGGTTCGAACTCAGCCCAGGCCAGCTAACCAACAATGACTGCTGCAACAAAAAATAGCTGGGCGTTATGGTGGGCTCCTGTAGTCCCAGCTACTTGGGAGGCTAAGGCAAGAGAATCGCTTGAGCCCAAGAGTTTGAGGTTGCTGTGAGCTGTGACACCATAGCACTCTATCGAGGGTGACATAGTGAGACTCTATCTCAAAAAAAAAATAAAAATAAAAAAGTATCACAAGAATGAAAAAGGAAGTATCCAATGTACTCAATACTAAAGTAAAGCCAGTAGATGAACTAATATGCACCCATATAAGAGAAAAACTCAATTTAATTCAAGTTGGAGATAGAGGGAGAAGGGAGGAGGATTGGTGTGCTCTTACCTAATAGGCAGGATGTAAGGGTATATGGCACACCTCCTGGGTGAGAGGCACAACTACAACAGGGACTTTACCTAACATATGGAAACACTGTAATCATTTACACCTTCATAGTAATCTGAAAAAAAAAAAAACCCAGAATCTGAAAGTAACAAAATTATATTTGGTTCATGTACATTTCATGTACAATTATCAACTATTTAAATGTTAAAGCTGGAAGGGACTTTAGAGAACAGTTACACCAAATAGGCAGTTCAGGTTTCTCCTGAGGGAAGTGACTTTCCAGAAGTCATAGGGCATCAGTGATTGAGCTAGGCTACAGCGCCAGTCAGTTACATCAGTGGTTATCCAGTGAGAGTGATCATATTCCCCAGGGGACATTTGGCCACATCTGGAAACATTTTCTTTTTTTTTTTTTTTTTGTTTGTTTGTTTTGAGACGGAGCCTCAAGCTATCCCCCTGGGTAGAGTGCCATGGCATCATGCTCACAGCAACCTCCAACTCCTGGGCTCAA